TATGCATGTTTGATACCAAGTTTTTACCTATGTAGTCACAAATTAGTCAACACTGAGTACTGTATACTTTAATGCTATATCTTTATTTTTTTTCATATTCAGTTAGTAAGTAGTGGAAATATAAATTTCCAAGCGGGGAGTGTTCTGGATCATCACAGATCCATGTATCTTATATAACTCTATGTAACCATAACTCTATGTACCTTGTATAACTCTATGTATTCCTATGTAACAGGTCAGGGGGAGGGTTAGGGTCAGGGGTGGAGCTTCAAAAGGCATCCCTGGACACTAGCCTGGGATCAGTCCTTTGTTCTTTGACCATCACATGCAGCCACACGGCTGCAGACTCCACGATCACCCCACCATGTGACGCTTGGGAGAAGAGGGGAAAATCTAATGTCAATTTACCTGTGGGACAATCAGATTGCTGAAACCTATTTTGGAAGCACCTCTACTAACTGTAAGTTTTGTCTAGGATTCCCAGAATAAAGCAATAAACCTGTTTGTTCTTCTGAGTTATCTATCTGTTAAAGACTGGAATAGAAGCATGTTTCCTGTCCAGAAACAGAATAGAGGTCCTCTAGTCCAGCCCTCTGCCCATGCAGGAGACCCTATACCACTTCAGACAAATGGCTGTCCAGTCTCTTCTTAAAAGCCTCCAGTGATGAAGCGATCACAACTTCTGGAGGCAAGCAGTTCCACTGATTAATTGTTTTCACTGTTAGGAAATTGCTCCTTAAATCCAGATCTCTCCTTAATAAATTTCCATCTGTTGCTTCTCGTCCTGCCTTCAGGGGCTTTGGAGAATAGCTTGGCTCCCTCTTCTTTGAGGCAGCCCCTCAAACAACTTCTGTCAGCTATCATGTCACCCCTAGTCCTTCTTTTCCCTAGACCAGACAAACCCAATTTCTCAACCTTTCCTTATATGTTTTAGCCTCTGCCCCTCCCTAATCATCTTTGTTGCTCTTCTCTGTACTCTTGCTAGAGTCTCAACAACCTTTTTACATCGTGGTGACCAAAATTGGATGCAGTGTCCCAAGTGTGGCCTTACCAAGGCCTTGTAAAGTGGTATTAACACTTCACATGATCTTGATTCCCTCCCTCTGTTAAGGCAGCCTAGGACTCTTAGTGAGATTTGAGTCCGGTGGGGCTGACCCTCTAGTTCCCTCCTCTACTTTATGGGAGACAAAGTTGTCTGCTAGGTTCATCAGGAGCCTGTTTGATCTCCCACTAGGCACAAAAAAATGTGTCCCAGCTGATGTCAGGGTAGTCAAAGTCCCCCATGACTATTTTACTGTACTTCCTCCATGCCTTAGCTAACTGGCTAGTAAAAAGTTCCTCTGGTTGGCTGGCCTATAGTATAAACCTATGGCAGGGGTAGGCAACCTTGCCTCTTTTATGACTCGTGGACCTCAACTCCCAGAATTCCTGATCCAGCATGGCTCAGCTTGGAAACCTCTCCCTTTCCCCTCAGCATGGCTGGCTCAGCAATTCTGGGAGTTGAAGTCCACGAGTCATAAAAGAGCCAAGGTTGCCTACCCCTGGCCTATACCATTAGAATGAGTCCCAAAGAGGGAGGGGGAGGAAGGCGTTGGGTACCAAAATGGGACAGGACCCTCCAGTTGTGAAGCCTCAGGTGCTCCCAAATGGCTCCCCACATGTGCTTGGGGAGGACTGCTGACATTCTGGTCCTCAAAAGTAGACATGAGGGGAAGCAGAGCAAGGGGGCCTATGAGCAGGAGAGGGGTCCTGCCCCTTCCCCTCCCTGGATCTGCCCACCCTCCTCCCGAACCAGTTTTAACTTCGGACCTGAAGTAGCCAGGATGGTTGATCCATAAGCAGGGGAGGTGTCAATCAGGGGAGGGGAAGAGGAGAAGGGAGGACACTCCTGTGGGGGGGGGGAGAAAAAAAAGGAGGAGGAAGAGGAAGGAAGGAAGGAAGGAGGAATTCCAGGATTTTTCCTACAATGTTTATTCTTTTATAGCAAAGCGAAGGGAAGGGATTCGGATGAAGAGTAATGAAGATGAAGCTGCTGTGGATTTAGAGCTGGGAGAGATTTGGGTGTACGGACTGACAGGCAGGTCCAGAGTCCCAGGGGTCAGTCTAGATGGTCTCCACCGCCCCCTCACAAGAAAGAGAGGCCTTCAAAGGAAAGCAAGAGGGGTCTCAGCAGGAGAAGCTCCAGGCTGCCATTCTTCTCCTCCCCCCAATCTAAAATCTTGACCCTCCATTTTTCAGAGGTTGCGAAAAAGCCAGAAATTCATCAGTTACTGGAAAAAAAACCAACTTCCTTTCCCATCAGGAATCAGGAAGGACAGCAGGTTTAATTCATGAGTGCTGTAGAAAAAAAGAGACAGGGAAGAAAGTTAGAAAATAAAGTGAAACCTTCAGTGTAAATAACTTATTATTCCTCTCTTTCAACCCCCCCCCAGAAAGGCCCACATTTCAGGGGGCTGATTTATAGGTAGGAACAAAGTGAGGGAGTGTCCCCCCCTTTTTCAAAGTGGAAAAGGATGCAAAGGACCAGCAATTCATCTCCAGAGGCTTATGGAATTTTTCCCAATTGACTTAACTGGGGGGTTAATCAAGAAAGGAGGCTTCCCCCCCCAGATGTTTCATATTAACAAAGAAGATGGGGCCAGGATGGGGAGTGGTAACAAATCTGGGTGTTGCTTTGTCAGAAATTGTGTTAAATTTTCACAAGGAGACTTCCCTTCTCTTTTGCAATTTCCCAAAACCTAGAAACCTCCTGGGCCAGATTTTAGTGTTTTTGTGTATGTTTGGTTTTGATTGCACTGTTTTCAGGTCTCTGTAATGAAAAGCTGCCCAAAATTTCAAAAAATTGTGTTATCCACAGCAAGGAGGTATTGTTCAGGCACATTAAAAAAAAAAGGAACAATTAACGAATGTTAAAGAAACATCTATCACTTGAGGAGAAACTCACCTGCAGGAGGCTGGATGGGAATTGCTGAAAGGAGAAAAAGAGCCAATCAGGACCCTTCATGGGCTGGAGGACTCAGGGGGCCCCTCCCCATTGATAGCCCATAATAGGTTGCAGGATGCTCACTTATACAGTAGACTCTCAGAGAACAGAATTTCCCAAGCAAATTTCCCAGGGGAGCCTCCTTGCCATCTGCTAAGGTTGCTGAGAGGCCTCCCCTGGATGGTCCCCTCCCCACAATCTCTCATCCAGCCCCCCAGACTCACCTTTCTTGCTCTTCAGGTAGAGGGAGAGCCCCATGGTGAAGAAGATCACCCCGATCACGGCTGCCACGATCCCCATCCAGAGTTTGCTCTTGGCAGAGTTGGAGGAACGGGGCTCTGGGGAAGGAGAAGGAGCCTCCCCTGAGTAGGAAGATCAGGGCCAGCTTCCCCCCCCAGGAGGGTCCATCCCAGCTCCCCCCACAGGGAGGGTCTCTCCCCCCTTCTCAGGGCAGGATTGGGTCCCCAGAGCAGGAGGGAAGAGAGGGGGGCTCACCCCATTGGACGGTGATCGGGGCCTCCAGGCTGGCGTGCCCCACCTGGCAGGTGTAGATGTCCCCCCACTGGGGCTGGGTCTCCAGCATCACCTGGAGCTGGTAGGTCCAGTCTCCATTCTGGAGCTCCTCCCCGAAGGCCACGCCCTCCTCCTCCGGCCGCCCGTTCTTCAGCCACCGGACCTCGATCTCCACGGGGTAGAAGCCCCTGGCAGTGCAGAGGAGGATGGTGTTTGGGGAAGCGGGATCCAGCTTGGTGGGGGAGATGGAGACGGTGGGCTTGGCTGGAGGGGAGGAGGGACACGGGGGAGACATGGGGGGGGGTCAACGGGAGACCAAGTTGGTTAGTTCAAGCCAAGATCCCTTTTCACTCCTGAAAATATTATTTGTTTTAAGTCATTTCCAAAGCAAAGAGCCTTCACTGATTCTCTTTTCCAGACCTTTGGAAGTTCATTTTATATCCTAAAATCCCAAAGGCCCCAGAGGTGAAGGGAGCCCCTCCCCCATTCCTGGCCTTCTGGAAAGGGGTCAAAAGGGGGCTCTGGGGCTTTGCTTGGGGGGCACAGAGGAGGAGGCAGCCGTTGGGCCGGTCAGCCTCCTGAAGAAGCCCCCCCCCCCTTTTAATGCATTTTAATCACTGGATTTTAATCATTCCTGCCTTTTAAATGTTAATTTGTATAGACTATTTTGGTGGTTTTGTATTTTATGTGTATACCGTGCAAAGTCCCTCTGTGTGTGAGAGAGAGGGTTTTAAAAGTTGATAAGTAAATCAATAAAGAAATATTGATTTATTAATATAAAATATTATATTGAAATATACAGTATATAGATTATATTGAAATATATTTATATACTGGGCAAGAGAGAGACCTTGCTGGATTTCCCCCCCCCCCCAGAAAAATGTAATATTTGGTATAATATTCTGGAAAGAAGTTTTTCTGGGCAGAGGAAACTTGGGACCTTGGGAAGAGAAGGAAGATGGTGGGACCGATGGGAAGGAGAGGCATCTATTTCTTCCCTTTTGCCTGTTTCATTGTCATTGTAGAATTTCAATCTTTTTAAAGGTAATTTATTTTTTAACCTTAGTTGTTATACACTTTTATTTAGGGGTGATGTTATATTGTACGCCATCCAGATCCCCGCTTTGAGGAAGGGAGGGGGCGGTTTAGGAGTATCAATAAATATCAATAAATACCAATGAGTAAATTTCATAGATCTGAGAGCGGAGAATAGATAAGATAAGATAAGATAAGATAAGATATAAGATAAGATATAAGATAAGATATAAGATAAGATATAAGATATAGTTTGATTGTGTTTCAGTGGGGTTTTTTGTATGGGTGTGTTTTTAGAACNGGGGGGGGGGGGGAGAAAAAAAAGGAGGAGGAAGAGGAAGGAAGGAAGGAAGGAGGAATTCCAGGATTTTTCCTACAATGTTTATTCTTTTATAGCAAAGCGAAGGGAAGGGATTCGGACGAAGAGTAATGAAGATGAAGCTGCTGTGGATTTAGAGCTGGGAGAGATTTGGGTGTACGGACTGACAGGCAGGTCCAGAGTCCCAGGGGTCAGTCTAGATGGTCTCCACCGCCCCCTCACAAGAAAGAGAGGCCTTCAAAGGAAAGCCAGAGGTGTCTCAGCAGGAGAAGCTCCAGGCTGCCATTCTTCTCCTCCCCCCAATCTAAAATCTTGACCCTCCATTTTTCAGAGGTTGCGAAAAAGCCAGAAATTCATCAGTTACTGAAAAAAAACAACTTCCTTTCCCATCAGGAATCAGGAAGGACAGCAGGTTTAATTCATGAGTGCTGTAGAAAAAAAGAGACGGGGAAGAAAGTTAGAAAATAAAGTGAAACCTTCAGTGTAAATAACTTATTATTCCTCTCTTTCAACCCCCCCCAGACAGGCCCACATTTCAGGGGGCTGATTTATAGGTAGGAACAAAGTGAGAGAGTGTCCCCCCCCCTTTTTCAAAGTGGAAAAGGATGCAAAGGACCAGCAATTCATCTCCAGAGGCTTATGGAATTTTTCCCAATTGACTTAACTGGGGGGTTAATCAAGAAAGGAGGCTCCCCCCCCCCGACGTTTCATATTAACAAAGAAGATGGGGCCAGGATGGGGAGTGGTAACAAATCTGGGTGTTGCTTTGTCAGAAATTGTGTTAAATTTTCACAAGGAGATTTCCCTTCTCTTTTGCAATTTCCCAAAACCTGGAAACCTCCTGGGCCAGATTTTAGTGTTTTTGTGTGTGTTTGGTTTTGATTGCACTGTTTTCAGGTCTCTGTAATGAAAAGCTTCCCAAAATTTCAAAAAATTGTGTTATCCACAGCAAGGAGGTATTGTTCAGGCACATTAAAAAAAAAAGGAACAATTAACGAATGTTAAAGAAACATCTATCACTTGAGGAGAAACTCACCTGCAGGAGGCTGGATGGGAATTGCTGAAAGGAGAAAAAGAGTCAATGAGGACCCTTCATGGGCTGGAGGACTCAGAATGTCCCCCTACCCATTGACAGCCCATAATAGGTTGCAGGATGCTCACTTATACAGTAGACTCTCAAAGAACAGAATTTCCCAAGCAAATCTCCAAGGGGAGCCTCCTTGCCATCTGTTAAGCTTGCTGAGAGGCCTCCCCTGGATGGTCCCCTCCCCACAATCTCTTATCCAGCCCCCCAGACTCACCTGTTTTGCTCCTCAGGTAGAGGGAGAGCCCCATGGTGAAGAAGATCACCCCGATCACAGCTGCAACAATCCCCGTCCAGAGTTTGCTCTTGGCAGAGTTGGAGGAACGGGGCTCTGGAGAAGGAGAAGGAGACCCCCTGAGCAGGAGCATCAAGGCCAGCTTTCCCCCCCCCAGGAGGGTCAATCCCAGCTCCCCCCACAGGGAGGGTCTCTCCCCGCTTCTCAGGGCAGGATGGGGTCCCCAGACCAGTAGGGAAGGGAGGGGGGCTCACCCCATTGGACGGTGATGGGGGCCTCCAGGCTGGCATGCTCCACCTGGCAGGTGTAGATGTCCCCCCGCTGGGGCTGGGTCTCCAGCATCACCTGGAGCTGGTAGGTCCAGTCTCCATTCTGGAGCTCCTCCCCGAAGGCCACGCCCTCCTCTTCCGGCCGCCCGTTCTTCAGCCACTGGACCTCGATCTCCACAGGGTAGAAGACCCTCACGGTGCAGAGGAGGATGGTGTTGGGGGAAGCGGGGTCCAGCTTGGTGGAGGAGATGGAGACGGTGGGCTTGGCTGGAGGGGAGGAAGGGGAGGAGGGACGGGAGAGACGTAACTGATAAATATTTCTATAGCAGTAAAAGTGGAATTTCCAATCAAATAAAATTATAGTTGAAAAGTGGGGAGGGAGGGAACAGGATGCATGGAGAGGGAAGGTGGGATTGCCTCTTAATTCAATGACCACCTTCGGTGTGATGCTCCCCCAGGAGGGCTCCAGCTCAACTGGCAAAGTCAGGAATCTGAGCTTGCCTTCTGGACTGTTGGCTGTTCTTGCCAGTTTGGTGTCCTCTGCAAATTTGATGAATTTCCCCTTCTATTCCCTCATCTGAGTCATTGATGAAGATATTGGAGAGTTTACTGGGCCTAAGGCCGAACCTTGTAGTACCTCACTGCTTACTTCCCTCCATGTGGATGTAGTACCTTTGAGGACTACTCGCTGAGTACGGTTTGTCAATCTTGTTAGAGCATGCACACTCTTATTGTGTTGAGATAACGCAGGAGTAAACACAGTAAAGAGTAGTCTATATTAAATGGTGGTTTATCTTACACTATCTACAATATCATACACCAGGAACAATATACATACACGTGTTAATACAGCAGATCGAACACACAGCAGTTACAGCAGGAAATGGAAGAGAGAGCACACATCTGCGGAGCCTTCCCTTTTATACAAAGCTCTTAAAGAGACACAGACCCTGCTTGCTCTTAAAAAGACACAGACCCTGCTGAGTCATTCTTATCGTTACATCTTATATTACATCCACTGGCTTAGCTTTTAAATCATTACATTGACAAGCCAACTACAAATCCATCTGGTAGTGATGTTGTCTATCCCACCTTTTTCCAGCTCTGTCGCATGCCTGGCTGAAGTCTAATTATACAATGTCCACAGCATTTTGCGGTCTACCAGTTTAGTCACTTTGTCACAGAATGAAATAAGATTTGTTTGGCACAATCTACTTTTAACAAACCTCTGCTGGCTTTTAGTTATTACTTTACTCGTTTCTAGATGTTTGCAGGAATATTATGGGAAGAGAAAGATTTGGTCCATCTGAGAAATTAGAATAAACCAGTCAATCTTTATCTGGAAGAATCTGAATGGATTAAATGAAATGGGGGTCTCGGAATCCCCCTTCCCCAGAGCCCCTCCCTCCCGGACTCACCTCTCCGGCCCACCATCTGGGCCCCCTTGGCCTCCTCGTAGTTCTGTCGGCAGCGCCCCACCTGGGCCTTCATGAGCTGCAGGAAGTTCTGATCTCGGTTGAACTTGCGGGCCTCGGGTTGCCCCAATGCCACAATGGCTACGAACTCCCCACGATCACTGTCGAAGTGGAGGATCTCCTGTCGGTCGTAGATGTCCCTGTACAGGTATCGCACCTGCTGCGTTCCATTGGAGAAGTGGCAGTCGGCCTTCCCCTGGAGCAGGAAATGGGCTACAGAGAGAAGGAGGAAGGCCATCAGGAGGGACTCCAGAGCCCATCGTTCCCAGTCATGCTTGTAACAGGAAGGGTGGGTATCCTGCCACAAGACACAGCCTCCTGGTGGACAGATAGGGAAGGTCCCAGTGGGATTCCACCTTGGTGGGGGTCTGGAGAGGGCAGGAAAATGAGGGAAGGGAGGAGCTTCCTTTTTTAAAAAGAATTTTATTGATTTTTTCCCCATACATTCAATAGCATTTATTGATAATATAAAACCCACTCTGGTAAACCAAAACCTCCATTTTCCTTGGCATCTTGTAGCATTTTCATCTTAATTCTAGCTTTCTTTCCTTGCCAAATAAATTTCAAAATTAATGAGTTTAAATCTTCAAAGAATTTTTTCTCAAGTTTTATAGATATTGGTTGGAATAGAAATAAAATTTTAGGTAATATATTCATTTTCACTGTAGCAATTCTTCCTAGTATTGACAATTGCAAGTTTTTTCCATTTTTACAAATCCACTCTTATTTGATTCAATAGTTTTGTATAGTTATCTTCTTTTATTGTTGAACATCTTGCTGTTAAGTATATTCCCAGGTATTTAACCTTTTTAACTATTTGTAGTTCTATTTTTTCTGACATTTGTCTTTTTTTTGTTTGTCTGAAAGATTTTTAACTATTACTTTAGTTTTTTCTGTTTATTTTCAGTCCTGCTATTTCTCCATACTGTTCTATCTTTCCCAGTAGTTTAGAAATCATCTCTAAGGGTTCTTCTAAAATAAATACCAAATCATCTGCAAATGCTTGTAATTTGCATGTTTCACCTTTTATTTCTAGTCCTTTAATTTCTGTATCTTGTCTAATATTTCTATTTAGAACTTCCAAAGTTAAGTAACAATGGAGATAATGGACATACTTGCCCTGTACATTTTCTTATCTCAAAGTTGTCTGTATAATCTCCGTTCACAATCACTTTCACTGTTTGTTTATTGAATATTGTTTTAATCATATTTATAAAGTTTTGTCCAAAGTCCATTATTTTTAATTGCTGGATCATAAATTGCCAGGAAACATTATCAAATGCCTTTTGGGCATCTAGAAATATTAGTGCCAATTGTTTCCCTGGATGTAATTCATAATATTCCAATACATCCATTATCACTCTTAAATTATTTTTAATTTGTCTCTTTGGTAAAAAAAAATCCCATTTTGGTCTGAATGTATAAATTCAGTTAAAAATCTTTTCAGTCTCTGCTACTATTGAAGTAAAAATTTTATAATCCACATTTAATAACGATATCAGTCTGTAAATTTTTATCTGTGTCAAGTCGGAATCTTCTTTTGGTACTAAGGTAATATTTGCTTCTGTCCATGTATTTGGGAGTTTAGCCTCCAACAATTGTTCATTGCACACATCTTTCAATAGTTCACTTAATATATCTTGTAAAGATTTATATAGCTCCGCCGGTAGTCCATCTGGCCCCGGTGTTTTTTCTCTCTCTCTTTTTGTTTTTTTATGGCCTCTGTTATTTCCATTATTGTTATTTTTTCCTCTAACATAGTCTTAAAAGTTTCTGAAATTTTTGGAAGATTATTTTCTTCCAGATATTGAATCATTATCTCCCTTGGGATTTCTTCTATATCATTTAGTTTCTTATAGTATTCTTTAATTATCTTTTTTATTTCATTTTTAAATTGTAGGCAACCTTTTTCATCTACTAAATTATTTATCAGTTTCTTCTCCTTTTGTTTTTTTAAGTTTGTAAGCTAACCATCTTCCTGGTTTGTTTGCATTTTCAAAAAAGGTTGGTTTTGCTCTTTTTATTTGCTGTGCCAATTTTTCTGAATCCAACAAATTTATGTTTTATTTTTTCCATTTCTCTTTTCAGAATCTTCTTTTGAGGATTCATTTGCAGTTCTCATTCTAATTTTTCAAATTCTTCCCTTAATAATATGTATTGTTGTCTTTTCTGTTTATTTTTTTCCGCCATGTATGTTATAGCTATATCTCTAAAATATGCTTTGGCTGTATCCCATACATTTTGTAATGTTGCATCTTCTTTTTTGTTTTCTTTAAAGAAAAACTCATTTTTTTTTGTTGCTAGTTCTATAAATTCTCTTTCTTTTAATATGTTGTTGTTGTTAATTGCGACGTCATGTCCGACCCATCGTGACCCCATGGACAACGTTCCTCCAGGTCTTCCTGTCCTCTACCATCTTCTGGAGTCCATTTAACCTCACACCTACTGCTTCAGTGACTCCATCCAGCCACCTCCTTCTCTGTCGTCCCCTTCTTCTCTTGCCCTCCATCTTTCCCAGCATTAGGCCCTTCTCCAGTGAGTCCTGCCTTCTCATTAGGTAGCCAAAGTATTTGAATTTCAACTTCAGGATCTGGCCTTCTAAAAAACAGTCGGGGTTGATCTCCTCTAGGACTGACCGGTTTGAACACCTTGCAGTCCAAGGGACTCGCAGGAGTCTTCTCCAGCACCAGAGTTCAAAGGCCTCCATTCTTTTGCATTCAGCCTTTCTTGTGGTCCAACTTTCACAGCCATACATTGCAACTGGGAAAACCATGGCCTTGACTATACGCACTTTTGTTGGCAGGGTGACGTCTCTGCTTTTTAGTATGCTGTCTAGATTTGCCATAGCTTTCCTCCCCAGGAGCAAGCATCTTTTAATTTCTTGGCTGCAGTCCCCATCTGAGGTGATCTTGGAGCCCAGGAAAATAAAATCTGTCACTACCTCCATTTCTTCCCCATCTCTTTGCCAGGAATTGAGAGGGCCGGATGCCATGTCTATATTTATATTTAATATAGATTGATTCAAAGTCCATCTTAATTTTTTGGGTACTCCTCTCCATGTCATTTTTAAGAGGTTGTGGTCTGTCCATGTACCTGGTTCTATCTCAATCTCCTGCATACTTGTCCTCAATTCAGATGTCATCCAAATCATGCCAATTCTGGACCAGGATTTTGATTGTTTGAATAAAATGTATATTGTAATTTTCCTGGATTAGTTTCCCTCCAGACATCTTGTACTCCAATTTCTTCTATCATATTACAAGAAGTTTTAAGTAATCTTTTTTCCCCCAATTTTTCCTCTTTTGCTACTTTTGTAGTCTAATGTCCCATCCATTATTGCATTGAAATTTCCTACTAAGCAAATATTTTGATACTCCATTTCTGTTATTTTTCTATGGAGATTTTGATAAAATTCTTCCTGTTTATTATTTGATATCGCACCCGCCGTGTCCCGTTGAGGAAGTGACAGTCGGACTTTGCCTGGTACAGGAAATGGGCTGCCGGGAGGAGGAGGAGAAAAAGTGTGAGGAGGGACTCCAGGGCCCATGGTTCTGCTTCTCAGAGGAGGGGAGGGAAACCTGCTGTGAGAGACTGCTGGAAGGCGCCCCCTGGAGGAGGGATGGGGAACCGTCGGTCCCAGAGAGATTCCCCCTTGGTGGGGGTCAGGAGAGGGGAGGAAAATGAGGGAGGGGAGGGGCTTCCCGAGGGACCTCCTCCTTCTCCCCAGGGTGGAAAAAGGCAGTCAGAAGTTCAGCTGGTCCAGCACTCGGCCTAACTGTCTGCAAGGAATGTTGGTTCGTGGTGGGGCCTCTTTGTCCCCCCAAACGGGCAGGAAATATGGGGGGAGGGAAGAGACCCCCCCCTCTGGGCTGGAAGGAAAATAATATCCGTACTTCCCTCTTCCTCTTCCTTTTGGGGCATAAGGGGCAAGGGTCACACTAAGGATACCTACACCTATGCTCCTGGGCTCTCCCTACCCTTCAAGCCCCCCCTCCCCTTTTCCTCTTCCCCCCTCGCCCCCATCTTCAGCCCCACAAGTTGCCTTTGGATGATTTTCGAGGCCTCTTTCCTGTCCCCTTCCCCAAAAGACCCCCCTGCAGCCCCCCAAGGCCATCTCAAAGGGAGGGGCCCAGCCCCTTTCACTAAAGGGGGAGTTTGGAGGAGCAACTCAGACACCCCCCCCCAATATCCCTCCCAATAGAAGCGGAGAAGGCGAGGGAGGGGAAGATTTTCAGTCTTGAGGGCTGCAACTTCAGGGGAGCGTTTCATGCCAGGACTGGAGGGGGTGTGTGGTCTTCCTTTTCTGACCCCCCCCCCATAACTCTTTTCCAAAAGGCAGCTGGACTTTCCTGGGTTTTCCCTTGAAGACATTTCGCTTCTCATTCCAGAAGCTTCTTCAGTTCTGACCGAAGGGTGGAGGGTGGAAGGACGGACATTCCTTGCGGTCATTTTGTCATTTTGAAAGTCGGTCACTGGTTCTCTCAGGGGCCTTGAGGAGCCCCAGGGGTTTATCTGGGCCCTCAGGGTCCCCTGAATTGGGGGGGCAAAGGGGTGGGGAGCCTTCCTGGGGCTGCTGAAAGGACCCTGTTGGAGGCAGGAGATGGGGGGGTCCTTTCCCTACCCCCTTGTTGAGGGAGGGCTGTTCAATTTTGAACTAGATGGCTAGGGGATCTGTGGATCCTGGGGAGAAGGGAACCCCCAGATTCCCTAGTTATCCCCCAAATTTTCTTTCCCATCAACTTCACTCCTACTAGCTGCCTTTGTGTGATTTGGGGGTTCAGCCCTCTTTCCTGTCCCCCTGGAGCCCCCCAAGAGGCATCTCAAAGGGAAGGTGTCCAGCCCCCCCCACAAAAGGGATAGTTTTGGGGAGCGATTCAGACCCCCCCATATCCTTTTCCCTCAGTTCACCCCTCCCCTCCAGGTCCCGATTCAGCAATGGGGGAATATGGGGTGGGGGGTTCTGGGTCTCCTCCCCAAATTCAGAGTCTCCCCCAAGAAGGAATCCAAGCTCAACTCTTCCCTCCCCTTAAAAAAAATGGAGAGTCAGAAGAAAAACTGAGGTTGCAAAAACACTTTTTGGTGGCCTTTGTGGATTCCGGTGTGAAAATGCCTCAGTTTCCCTCTTTCACTTTCACTTTCCGACTCCTTCTTCTTTCAGTGTAAGAAACTTCGGGGCTCAGGCGCTAATCCGGGGTGCACAAGCCAGCCAGCCACGGGGGGGGGGACGAGAGAGGGGGTCCAGCTGCCTCTTATCCCTCCTCGGCTGCCTTCTCGCGACCCCCGGCCACCTTGGCCGCAACCAGGAAAGGGGGGGCTCCCTCTTTGTTCTGTGGGGGGCAAATGCTGCGAGGGAGGGGGCGGAGACCACGCGGAGATCGAGGCTCCTGCAGGCTTCCGTCTCTCTTGCCCTCCAC